AAATTAAAATAGTTATATCTTAGCAACCGTTTAGTGGATGCATTTTTACTTTTCTGCAATAAATTAGGAAGACTAAAAGAACAATTTCACAAATTGTTAGCGACTTTATACTATTTTGAAGATAGGTCCGATACATCCTTAAGGAAAACTTTGTAGCTTTTTCAATATTTGACTTACGATATCTCAATGACAAAAGTGATACAGGACTCTTTGACTTGACTTCTCAAGAATATGCTGTTATACAATATTGTCTTAACTTTTGTTAACTTGATTGTATAATAAATTTTCAGATTACTTTAGAACTTTCAAAATTACAGTACAATATTCTGTAGTTGATTTTATAATTGGTCCCACCTATCTGTTTCAGATCTACGCGGAAGGCTTACATCTTGTTCAAGTAACGGGTGAGATATTGAATTCCACCTTGATGAACAATCCTGATATCGACTGGGTACCAGAAAAGTGGGAAGAGTCCGTTAACAGTGTTTTGGATAACGCCTATACGTATGGACGAAGCGCTATATCGGATGGTGTAAGATTTACTTTGATCATTTCTCCACTTTGCGCTTGCGAACGAATCAAGTTTGCTTATCTTGATTAATTTAGATTCGAGGTCTCGTGAAAGATCTCGAACCAGCGAAAGCGGAGCAGATGGAGAAGAAAGTCTTGGAACTCTGGGATCGTCTCTATCAAGCATGGATGATGTCGAGTACGGATCCCGATCTTGTAGGTCCTACTGTGGATGTCATGTCTGCGTACACCGCTTGGGAGAGCTTCAAAGAAAGCTTTGGAAAAACGCCCTTACGTAAATATGTTGCCTTGAGAAAATTCTGAAATTTAGCTTTATTCGTTATACATTGTGCCCTTGATTTTCTTTTCTGTCAATTTGAAAAAATTATAAAATATCAATCATACACAAAAGTATGTTGGTTCTATTATAATAAGGACTGCTTTGTATACAATACAATAATGGAATGCTATCGCTTTTCTTTCTCTTTTTTAGAATTATTCAATATGACTAGTATACAGAATTTTGCCAAAGAGAACATTGGCATTTTAATGTCGGTGCTAGACTCTCTCTGGGGCATTGTTAAAGGCAACATGTCTGTCATATTGACAGTTTTCACGGAGTTATTCTATATCATACTCATGAGTGGATCGGCAGTACTTAATTTTGTACTCAGCACAGTATGTTTCTGCAAAATGTCCTCAGTAAAAAAAAAGAAAAGGCACGAGTTATAATAATTTTATATTTCAGGTGGTGTTCTTTACAACTTTATTTTACTTGCTCAGTTCTAGCGGCAAAACTTATAAACCCATTGAATTGACAACAATGTTTAGTCCTATTAGTTGCCACAGGTAACTGCCTGCCATTTGAAATTTGACTTATTCTTTTCCTTTCTTCTAATATTTTATATTTAATAAAAATATTTTTTTAACAAGCACGCTGCATGTAGAGGGGTAAGTTAATCTTTGCATAACGTAACCAAGTTAATATATAATACATATACTTGAGTTTATTTAGCATCATAAAATATATGATTGCATGCGACGAAAACATTCAGAAACAATTAATTTTTATTCAGATTTGCTGTAGCGTTGCAAGAAGCAGTGATCGGGGTGTTTGCTGCCACTTTTAAACTCGCCTCCTTCTTCGGCATGTGGACATGGTTTATACATAATTTATTTCAAGTGAAGATTGTCTATTTACCATCGACCCTCGCAACCATGTTGGGGGCAGTTCCTTTCTTAGATGCATACTTTGCCAGCATTCCGGCCGCCATCGAACTCTGGTTTACCCGTGGATCGATGATTGCTATCACCTTTTTTCTCTTCCATTTCCTCCCGTGTAGCATAGTAGTGACGGAATTTTACAAGGAGATTAAAGGGTAAAACTCGTTTTGTATTATGTTTTAGTATACATCTTTAATCACGCGTCGTCTCTGCAAGTATTCCATTTATTTCAGTGGTGGACACCCTTACCTGACGGGTCTATCGATAGCGGGTGGAATCTTTTGTTTAGGTGTGGAAGGGGCAATTTTTGGTCCTTTGCTCCTGTGTTGTATTATGGTTGTCATCAATTTAAGCCGACGTTATCTGCACTCGCCTGAGGACGAAGTTGTATTGCCAACGTATCCCAACCATGGAAGAACATCTGAATACGAGTCAAAATAACATTACGGTTTTAATAACAATCGATATCTCTGCTTAACAATATTGCGAGCAGCGGGTTTGGCTCCAGCTTTTATTACAGATTAAAAGTTTGATACGAAAGCGTTGTATGATGGCTGGTACCAGACATACAGCATGAAAACAGATACGAAAGTTGTGTTTTATATACTTTTATGTGATAAGAGAACTAACAGAAGAGTCTCAGCTTACGCTTATTAGAATTACAGATATTTATATTGTACGTGAATAATAAAAATAAGTTATTTTTTTATTTATACGCGCATTAATACAATTCTCTTTTACGAATCTCATTTTAAATAATAAATTTTCTGTCTTCCATCGTCCTTATATCAGGAATTTCACAAATACCAGATTTGCAACAATATTTACAGTGCTATAGTATAATTTATACATATACACGATATAATTTTCATTTAATGTATTACACTTCAAGTACGTGTTTTTTTATTGTATTGATTTAAGTGTAAACAAGAAAAACACGTTAAAAATATATGTATATGCCTATTGTGATACTAACTTCAAGATTTAATACTTATGTTTATATTTCTCATGTTAAATGTGTAACCAATGATATGGTAATAAATTTTCTTAACATTTAATGTACGTATTATGTCCTAAATTATAGTGTTGAAATAAAACGCAATGTCTAGTCTAATGTCCACGATAGTCGGTGCAACCGTAATTATGCTTATTATTCTTATTGGATTCGAGATTTATTTACACTATGATACTTACTTTCTGTCAAGGAGAGTTTGAAAATATGGAGCATGAATAAATAAAGTTTATTTATTCGCAAAAGTGGATACACGTAGCATTTGTCACAAAGGCATTGCACGTACAATTTTTATAGTAATTTTTGACCCATGTAATTATACAAGGAAGTTTTACGAAATTTTTTATCAATCTAAATCTGTCTTTTTAACAAAGTGATCACTATCAAAATTGCCATGTGTATTATAAACATTCGATAGATGCGTTAGTTTTATATTACTCCGCAACAATTCAACTGTGGTTGCTTCGTGCGCATGGAAAATAATTTCCTTCTCGTTTACAAACATGTGGAAACCATTTTCCGAGAACCGACCACGTATATTGCCTACTTCCAACCATACAAATAACGCTATATTATTCGTCGACAACACAATTTTGAAATCTGCATAATTGGAAAGTTTCCCAGGTAAATGGTTATCTTCAATCTTCATCTGAAATAAAAAATATTTACTTGTCAATATTTCTCTGATAGTATTTGACAATGTCTGCAGTATACATATATTGGGCTTTTATGTGATACTTTTTTATTCACTTACAGTGACATTGGCAATTGGTTTATCTACATTTTTTAATGCATCGGGATATACATAATTAACTGGCGCGATTAGGGATCCAGATTTATCCATGAGAGATAAAGTGACTATACAGGATCTCTTAGCAGATTCCAATGATCCACATCCCATTTGAAGCAGAAACTCGTCTAACCAAAAGGACGTAACTTTCATGGCTTTGTTAGATTGCTGAAGAATAACGAATATTTATACACACGGATTATATGTATGTATACGTATATCCCTAGTTTATCGTACTTACTATTATGATATTATTGAACGATAATTCGAATATATGTTTCATGGATTCCCATTTATAAATATGAAGTTTTACTGTACAGTTTGTTAAGCTGTACATTCGATCGGATACTACGTATATTGACAGCTCGTTGGAGGTGGACAAATGTGGCGTAACGATAATGGGCGCAAAAAAGTCCTTGGCATAATAATGCAGCATTTTCCAGCGACCTTCAATATCTGTAAATATAACACATGATGTGCAAACGACAGAATAGCTATACCTTGTAACTAGAATGATTAATACAACATCTTCATATTAACATTTTTCTGGATGGATTAATCGGTTCAAAAACCTTGGAAAAGTTTTTATATACATAGACTCGACTCGCCACGACTTTCTAGTTGCAGCTTGCAAGATACTATAATGTCTTCGATTACCTATGGAAGACCACGAAGGAGCTTGCCAAACATCATTCAGCTGCCAATAGAGAGCTCCCATTGTCATACCCTCACCTATGGAATTCACCTCCGACTTAGCTTGTCTGTACGCTTCCGTTTGTATCCTTATAGAAACAGCTTGATTAACTTGACTGAGATATACGTAATTCGCGAAATCTCGGATGCTATCGTTACTCTGTGGTACAGCAAAATTATGTAAGATCAACAGCAGCATATATTGGTTGCCGAGTGGCTGATGTTGCCTGTGTTTCACGAAATCACTGCTGACATGAAGATCTTTCGCGCTTTCTATAGCAGTTACTATCGTGTACATCGACGGCCAAGATTGAAATCCATATTCGGAGCAAAATCTCGTTCGAGGATACTGAGTGATATCCCATCCATTTCTAATGTAGTTGTAATAGTGAACTAAAAAGCAACCAACATTCAGCGTTAACACATTTAATCAAGTCTCATTTTAAACTGTTATCTAAAAAGAAACATATTTGTATATTACCATCGCCATAGAGATTTGAGTAAGGATTTACTCCAGTATAATTGTACGTTTCTTCGTATGCCCCATTGCCTGGACTAGACACGACAAATGGCCTTGTAGGATCCAGTTTCTCCACTTCCACCTTTACTAGATTCACGTAAAGTTTCACATAATCTTCTCTGTAGACCTGAGCAGAACCAGTTCCGTACCAATTTCCATGAAGCGCTGCCTCATTCTCGTTATTACCAGCCCAAAGCACGACACTTGGATGGTTCTTCAAACGTATCACGTTTTGCGATACTTCTTCCTTCACGCTTCTCAGGAATGAGTCACTCGTGGGATACATAGCACACGCAAACATAAAGTCTTGCCAAATCATGATCCCATATTCGTCGGCTAGGTCATAAAATAATTTCGACTCGTAGACACCACCACCCCATACTCTTAGCATATTCATATGTGTCTCTTTGACGGATAACAACAAGTTCCTGATGGTGTCCTCTTGCGCGCCTAGCTCGGGGAAGACACTGGCCGGAATAAAGTTGCTACCTTTGGCGAAAATCGGTACGCCGTTTATGCGAAAGTAAAAGCTCAATCCTTTCTTCAGAGGTTCCTCCACCAGCTCCACCGTTCTGAAGCCTATACGAATCCGCTTGTATAGTACATCGTTCGCAGTTGTCACGGTGGTAGTTAAATAGTACAAGTGTTGCTTGCCGTAACCATTCGGCCACCAGTTTTCAACGGCATCCTGATAAGAATGAAAAGAATCATTAGGCTATTAGAGTTAAAATTTTGTTTTGCAAACGCAAACTTGCACTTGCAAAACAAAACTTGTGAAATAAAGATAGGAAAGAAGATATTGTACAAATAATTCCTTTAATAAAAACCGGATACTTTTAAACGATTATTTAATGTATAAAACACAATGGATTGATTCTTTCATAAATATTGCAATATTAATGACTATAATCGTTAAAACTTACCACAGGCACGATGAGCAAAATGTTAACATTTATGTACTTGCCACTTGCATCAAGTACAACCTCGCTAGTGTTGCTGATGAGTTTGCTTTGTGAAATATGCAATATCGACGCTACATGACAACCGATTTCCGTGAATCTTTCATCCTCGCTCTGCGTTGCCTCTAGAAATATCGTAATGACGATGTTCCAGGCATCATTTTCTTTGTGTATATCAGTCGTAATGTCATTAATCAATATATCATTTACGGGAATCAATTCAACGTTTCTCCTGTAAATTTGTTCTCGCATTTATACCAGTAAAAATGCATACGGTGAGGAAAACAAAATATACTATAAGATAATCGAGTGTTTATTACCAAATGCCAACAGAGGGGAAAGCAGGTCCCCAATCCCACGAGAAACTTGCCTGCATCTTACGAATATGATTTACATGACATTGTCCGTTGTACTGCTTAGGTACGCACACTGGTGGTACAATGTAGTTTTTTCTTTGCTCATTGTATAAATCTTCAGCTGCTTTAACAGCCGAGCGAAATGTGACTTTCAATACATTTTGTCCTTCCTGTATATTACGGATAAAATAATTATTATATCATCAACGAGTATATTTACCCAGATAGCACTGGATGTCCTATGGACTTCCAGTTTAAGTCCAATTTACGTCTGAACATGCGTGGACGTGAAATGGACATTTAACGGACGTCCGTTGTTGTACCTTGAGGAGATATCCTTTTCGGGACATCTTATGGACATCCAATTTTTGTCCACGTTTGGGCTTTAATTTTATCATCTTTAGATATATTTATTTTATCATATTTAAATACATTTGCAAATTTTCATTGCGAAAAAACGTTCATTAAAAAACTTTTATTAAACATTTAAAAAACGTTCATTTTACGTTTAAAATCCATATGTTGAATAAACTGTTTAAAAATGTTTGTTTTATTTTATTTTACATTTATTTTATATTTATTTCATATTGATTAGTCATTTGCAACATATATGTAAAAAAGATTTTATACATTTGTTTTTTATTTTAGGTTTCACATTTATTTAACATTAATTACTATATTAATATTATAATAAAATACATTAATGAATAAAACAGTTTTTCACATTTAATAGTTAAATATTCGTTGTACAATAAAACCATAGAAAACAATAAACATAGACAATGTAAAATAAATATTAAATAATATGAATTAAATGTACAATAAAATATAATTTTAAAAAGTTATATTCTCTCTCTCTCTCTCTCTCTCTAAATATCGTTGGTTTTTTGCCCTTTTTCCTTTCCTCTTTCTTTGATTGTGAATAAAAAATTGTATATTGGCATATAAATTGTACTCGGCTATAAAAATTTTTTTAATAAAAAGAACTGTAAAATATTCATAAACGGGGAGTACATGCTTTAACACTTACAAAGATTAACAATAAGTAACAATTTAATTTTTGTAGATCAATTTAACAAATTACATTGTCAATTTCTGTTGAGTTTTGTAAATCTACCTCGCTAAAAACTACTAAAAATTAAAAAGCTAGAAAAAGTCTAGAAAACCTGGAAAAGTCAGGGAAACACAGTAAATTGTTTAATTAATATTTAATTATTAAAAATCCTGTCCAAAATATAGGTACATAATTAATTATCAAAAACACGTCCGTTATAGGTCCAAAACAGGTCCAAAATAGATCCAAAGTTGGATGTATTTTGGACGTCCTAGGGATGTCCAAAGTAGTGCATTTTAGACATCCGATGGACCTTAAGTGGACGTACTATGGACGTCCAAATATCCAGATGCGGCCGTCCATCGGACATCCTATGGACGTCCATGTGCTATCTGGGTTTGTACGGTTCTTTTGATCTCTTTGATTACCTTGATGAAGTCTGTCACATCAAAAATATATCGCACAAACATATTTAAAGCCTCTCCAATCGCATGATTGTTCAATGAAATATTGGCAAACGTATCGAGTCCGTGAAAAATCAAGACTATCTTGCGAGCCTTTAGAAAATTATCGCTCACTGAAAATAATATGGTTAGAATCCATAAGTTTAAATTCTAATGTCATCTCACATGTTTTGATTAATTTACCGTTAAAATTTTTAGTATAAATTACGGACTGATTTCCGACCCAACGATTATTGACATCGTTTCTTCCATGCAGATTGCTCTCTATTATATTATTCTTCTGTAAATCCGTATAAATTCCGCCGGGAACAGTCGCGGTGAAATTGACATCTACGAGTAATAGTTGGATCATTTTACATTAATGATAAACAAGCCACCAGATATGGAGAAGATTATACAGGGT